TATATGCACACAGAAAGCATGCTCTCTCCCTCCTTTACCACCTCAAAACCCTCCACCCTAAAATAAGGAATTCACTATGCATTTTTGATTTTATTTGATGTATGCCTTTTGTGGTATTTTACATTCTTTTTATGTGATACGACCTATATATATATATATATATATATTTATTTTTTTTCACAGTGAAACAATCAAGTGTTATTTTATGTTAATGTGAATTTTCTTTTTCTTTTTTGCATGATTCTTAAACTCAAACTTTTAAAATGTTGCAGCTTTCCAGCTTCTACTATCACTGTATCAGCTTGCCCGAAAAATAGGACCATTATTAGTTATTTAATCAGTTAGGGCGCTAAACTTTTAACAAGCTGTTTGAGTACTTTTGACGTGTATATCTACTGTAGAATTAATTATTATCTTGGTTCTTACATGCAGATGTGGCGTTAGATATTTTCAAGAAGGACACAGCTTTGGCCACTACTATAGTAGAAGGAAACCGATCACTCTTACATGCGTTAAGTAAGAAGGCTTTAACAATCAGTTGGCGAGATCCGGACGGGAAGTGGAATAGGTTCGTTCATATGCTAAATGCCGGAAGAATGCGAGTTTGTTCTCCAGTGCGGCGAATATTTATTAGTATGATTTCCAGGATGCCATTTATTCCACGTAAGATCTACTAAGACCTTTTGTTGTTTCAATTTGCAGTCTTGTTTGTACCTATATTGCTCGTACTCTCCAGAAATGTTGCCGGGTGTGTGTCGGATCCTCTGTATTTTTGGAGGATCCGACACGGGTGCGGCATCATTTTGGAGAGTCCGCATAACATAGGTTTGTACAAACATTGTATCACAAATTCAAATTCTGCATTTTTTGCTTGAAATATTGCTTATTTCTTCTTGCTTTGTTTTGTGACAAGATGGAGCTCTTTATTAGTAGTAGTAGTTTGTAATACTCAGTATACATTGCTGGAATTTTAGGGTTCGAAAGGGTTTGGGTTGTTCGGAGAAAATCATTGCTGAAGAAGCAAGCTGGTGTGCTACTTGAGGAGCTCTGGGCAGAGTGTCTACAATTGCCAGAGGCTGAGCTTGCGCGGCTAATCTCAAAGACCCAAATACTGAATTCTGCTGCAAAAGCAGGAAATGTAGAGTTTTTAGCTGTACTAATTCGTGATCATCCTGATCTGATATGGAAAGTCGACAGAAGGAAGCGCACCATTTTTCATGTTGCTGCTTTACATCGACAAGAAAAAGTCTACAGTCTTATACACCAAATAGGAGCAGTTAAAGACTTGATAACTCTTGGTGTTGATGTTGATGGCAATAACATTCTCCATTTGGCTGGAAAGTTAGGGCAGCCAATCTCTCTCAAACAGAAAATCGGGCAACACTTTGGAGAGATAGAAGTGCTCAAACAGAATCTTGAGCAGCCAATGCCTTGTAATGATATAATCTTGGAATCTATTAAGCAGCTTTTGCAAGAGATCCTTCAACAGAGACTGGCTGAGCAAACACCTGCCAATATTGAATATGAAGAAGCTCTTCAACAATTAATTACTGAGATAGATCAAAAAATTGCCCAGCCAAACCCTTGCGATATTATAATGGGGAAAGCACTACGAAAATTGATTAGAGAGATTGAAGCCATTAAAAAGTTAACAGAGGCAGTGTGCTATAAGGTGATAAATTCTGTCCTATTGTTTTCAATGCAAAAAACTATCCAATTTGTTGACACTCTTATCCTCCACTCTAGAAAATGCTTTTCAGTAAAAATATCTTGTGCTCCCCAACGAATACCAGAAAATAGTTTTTGAAGACCATACTTTCTGTCATTTTTCTCTCTCTCTTGTATGCATATTATATTTCCTATCCTATCAATCCAATTTACGATGATATATGAACTATGTCTTAATGTAAGAGTGCCATAATTTGGTCATCTTCCTTTAAATTATGACTGATTTGTACAGGAGGAAGAGAAGATTATGCCACCGTCATTTCTCCGGGTATCTGGAGCAGCTCTTCGACTGCAAAGAGAGATATTGTGGTTTAAGGTAAGAGATGACTTCGAGCAAAATTGGCAGTCAGAAACGACTTCTCTTATGCATTTCTATCTTAGCCATTTTATTTTAAAGAAGAGCTCGTAGCCTTTTCTGTTGCTAGTTATCATCTGATTGCAGTAATTATTTGGTAGGAGGTGGAGAAAATTGTACCACCTTCATTTCTCAGGATGAAAAACAATGATGAAAAAACGCCGAGGCAATTATTCTCAGAGGAGCACAAGCTGTTGTTGAAAGAAGGTGAAAGGTGGATGAGAGACACTGCAAATTATTGTATGATTGTTGCAACTTTGATTGCCACAGTGATGTTTGCTGCTGCCTTCACTGTGCCAGGCGGTAATAACGACAATGAAGGTACCCCAATAATGCTAAAATTGAAAGGATTTACGGTTTTTGTCATATCAGATGCAGTGGCAATGTTCTGCTCAATTGTTTCCATCATTATGTTCTTGTCAATTCTGACATCTCGCTGCAATGAAGACGACTTTCTTGTGTCATTGCCCAAGAAATTACTCTTTGGACTCACGGCACTCTTTGCCTCGATAGTTGGCATGCTCGTGGCTTTTGCAGCAACTTTCTTCTTGGTCTATAATAATCATATGGCTTGGCAGCCAAAGCTCATTGCTGCTATTTCTGGTGTTCCTGTAGCTTTATTTGGGTGTTTACATTATAAGCTATGGTGGGATACTGTAAAATCAACATACTGGTCCAAATTTCTTTTTAAACCGGGAAAGCACAGATTGTATTAACAGACAGATCTCGGGTCATGTTGGAATAACAGATAGCAACATTTCTCATTCTCGGGTCATATGGGAACCAAGTTTCCTGTTTTAGAATACCGTTTATTGTTTCAGAAGGTGATGGTTATTTCAAATAAGCTACTTGCGATGTTCTTTTGACAAACGTGCACAACTACATGTTAGGAAGGAACTCTCTTACATGTGTTTAAGGAATGTAGTGTGTTTGGCATGTAGGAAAATGTTTTCCGGTGTTTGAAACAAATGAATATTTAATAGTCATATTTGGTGCTGCAAGTTAATGTTAAAAACATATCACCATGGTTGCTCTAGTAATCTAATATAACTCAGTTGTATTACTCCAACTAATCTATTAAAAATTATCAATCAATCAACTATACATTGATTCCAGATTGGTCAAGATCGGCCATCTATATCATCAACATACATTCCCCTCTATCACGTTCATAACTAATCTATGAATAATATTGCAAAAATAAATAAATTATCACAACTATCGATACACAGATACAAGCTGGAGTTGCGCTCAGGAAGGTTACATCAAATAATGTACATTTTCTATCGTTTACTTCTCAGATGATTTTGCTACAATCTCCTAAACCCTACTAGCGACTATAACTTTAGAATTCACAACGAATCGACGAATGTGTGCGAAAGAATAAATACACAGCTAATTCTACGTATCCGCTAATGTTGTCTAGGGGAAAGTGAACGGCAGGGTTAAAGAAGAAAATTTTGTACAAAATTTCTGGAACCTCAGCCCTTTCTAGGTGCCTTTGGCCGTGTTTTCATGCTTGCTCTCCGAGCCACATCCCACGCCTTTTGAGGTGCCAAGACACCAGCCTGAGACGCAAAAAAGGACTCGTAACCGGGTGAATCAAAGGCGAAACCAGTATGCTTCGATTTCTGTCCAGGTAGTTGCATTATGGCATATCTCCTTGCTTCATCTGGAGAAAGCTCGTTACGAATCTCCAATAACCCAACCCTGCTATTGTCAATCTCGTGCTTGTGAATTTCCTGAACAATCTGATAATCATATGGGAAAAACCATCTTTGAGCCCTGCAAGGAAGCAACTAGAAGTGTTAAAAGTGAACTACTTCCAGTAGTCATACAATAAATTAGGGATGTGAAATTACTTGGTAAATTTACATTTTCATTCACACAATTTTGTTTAGACAATGATATGTCTTGAGAGGTAGCTTATTCATGAATTGGAAAGAATGTTTAAATAAAAGATCCTAGAATAATGTATACTGAAATGTAATACATAATATTGATTCAAGTAGTTTAAGAAAATTTACTGCAGAAACTTACCCCTGATATAGGAAGTCGACAAAAAGTGCAGCAACTGGTACAAGCAGCAGCGTGAGGTAGAAATAAAATGTGCCCATCAGGACAAAGATGACTAAATAGATACCCTCCTGTGGTGAACAAGAACAAACAACGTTAGAAAGTTAATTGACATTAGGAACACAATAAACATGTACGGAAACTAACCTGCTCTTTATGCAAGTGGATACCCGAGTAGATAAAGACGAAAATGAACCATAATAATATACTCCCTCCAACACTAATGTGATGCCATCTTGTAATTGTGTTGCACATCATAAGGAGACGCAAATTGACAGTTACAACAACACAAGTGTAGGCCATTGTACTGACATCCCATAGGCCAAACATCCTGCCAGATGAATTCATGCCCTTTGTACTCGAAGAAATTACGAAATTATACAAGACTAATGATTGATAAACTGCAAAAAAAGCCCAGGTAGCCACAACTCTCCACTTGAAGAATGTATTTCTAATTCCTTCCCTGTATAACTCGGGATATTTCTTGGAGAGAGATGCACTGACATCCTAAATGCACAATAAGTGTATAAACAACAAGAAACAACATCGTAGTTAGAACAATCATCACTGTCATACATTGTAAAAGCTGCGAAAAAACTATAGTAAAATATAAGATACCTTCTCAAAAAGCCCAAGAATAATAACAGGAAGCGCTGTGAAGATCACATTGTAGAGAGACTGGAACCAATCATCATAGAACCTCTGACCAGAGAATCCAGTGCGGAAGGTAAACCAAAACTGAGTCAGTGTAAACATCAGATTCTTGTAAAAGAAATATGTCACCACCTGCATATAAAACTTCCAGATCACACAACTTCCCGAACAGACCATACAAGTTTGCACAAAGAAGACCAGATGAAGATAAACCTTGCATATTCTAAGATATGACCAGCGCCCATGGACAAGCAATAAATCGGTGAGAAAGCGGAACTGAGCTATTGCAAAATCACTAGACATGACTGCTTGCATTCCCTCCTGTCCACTTATTCCAACACCAACATGAGCAGCTTGAATCATACTCACATCATTAGCACCATCACCAATACTAAGAGTAATTCTCTGTGCCCCCTTCCTAACCAAGCTGGTTACCTGAAAGCAATCGGAAAGTCGCTAAATATCTCTAGCCTACAAGTTTGACAATCAAAAAGCTCATCCTAACATTACAGTATTTTTATTTGTAACTTCAACAATATCACCAAAACTCTAAACTGTAATGGTGACTCCAGAAGAAACTAAAACGGTTGATAATGAAATGTGAACCCCAAAAGAACATTCCCAGGCATACAAATATGCCGACTTTATTACACAGTAATAAAGTGAGATAGGGAACAGATTTGATGAAACCTATCATATGCGTATAAATTTATGGCATTTAGCTGCCAGGCAGATGTGACTGACAGAAACTAAGAGGGCTCCTATTGCATGAAAGGGATGGATGAAAATGGTGACTGCATCCATGCTTTTAGTTAAAAAAGCATGTTTCAGCGTGAAGAAACCACAAGTCCACTTGACAGTTTCCAAGGTGGCTTAAGGACCTCACCTGAGCTTTCTGTAAAGGAGAAACACGACAGCAAACCACTGCACTGCAATTCAAGCTCAAATTCAACAACATTACACGAAGACTGGGGTCTAAGGCATACATTAAGCACTTCCCATCAATTACTAGTGCTAACTTTGGTCCAGATGCCGAATGGAGAAACTCTTGTGCTTCGTCATAACATTTCCGGAGCTCATTCTTGACTGTGTCTTTCATAAAACGAGCAAGCTCCACTTGGTCACCCTTGTGAAAAAAAAACAGTAATTGTTAAATTGTTGTGGATTTGCCAACTGACAAACAAGATAATCAAGAAATGCTGCTCACTCTATCTTCCACTTCTCTGATTTCATCAGTTTCTGAGCTAATAACAAATTGTTTCATGCTGTTATTGATCAAATTGCATGCTGCAATACACAAGTGAATCAGGAAAAGATAGTACATAGAAAGCAAATATCAAGTATCAACAAAAAATAGACTGCCTATTTCTTATACCAACCATAAGCAATGTTTATTGCTGTTTCCAGTTTATCCCCAGTTAGCACCCAAATCTTAATTCCAGCCCTTGAAAGAGTCTCTATGCAGGCAGGTACACCTTCTTGAAGCTTGTCTTCTATAGCAGTGCATCCAATCAAAACAAGATCCTTTTCTATCAGTTCTGCCACCTGCATAAAACTACACACTTAGAAAAGTAATGACACTTGACAGAAGCCGTTTAATTTAAAACAGAAGTAAAAACTCTGGATGAAGAATAATAAGCAAAGAAGAGCGTCAAGGATGCAACAGTGGTAGAATGTAGAGCTGATAGTAATTATAGTACTTGGATAGGACGGAATCCAAAATTGGAGGAGTAAAAGTGGGTGGCTGAAGAAAAGACTCTCAGTGATGGACGGAAGACAAAGGAGCATATCCTATCAAGTACGGCTAGAAGGCACTTAACACTACACCAACAGTAGACTGGCCATGGAAGGCTATCTGGAGAACTAAAGTTCCCCAGAAGGTGGCTTGATTTGGGTGATTCTTACTAGTGAGGCTTGCCTTGGGCAGGATAATATTATGAAAAGGGTTATCTCTCTGGGCAACAGGAGCAAAGGTCCAGAAGAACAAGAGTATCTTATGGTAATCAATAAATTTGTGAGTTCTGTAGGTGTTACGTAAAGCAAGAAACCAAAGATCTCTTTGAAGCAAGAAGCTCCTCGGTGCATTAACTGAAATACTCCTCTCCTTTTTGTACTTTTTGTGTAATCTTCAAAATATGAACAATTAGATAAATGTTAGATTTTATCAGCTCCCTCATGCTGAAGACTTAATTAAGTAAATAAAAGTGCAGTCTCTCTAACAGCTTAAGCTTTTCGATGAGATGGTCATACACTTTAACATGGTATCAGAGCAGACATAGGTCCTGAATTTGAGTCTCACCGCCTCCCATTATCAAAAAGATTTCCAAATGCTAGACCCATGATAAAAAATAAGGCTAGAACCCGAGGGAGCGTGTTGAAAACATAACTCTACCAGCTTAAGCTTTTAAATGAGATGGTCACACACTTCAACACCTCCATTTCTAACAACAGATGCTCTTTTCAGCTCGTAATATCTGCACAGATACACTAACTTGGCGCTATAATCAATAATTTAATACCTTCTTTCATCGGAGAGAGAGAGAGAAGGCTCCTAGCTAGAGTACATTCTTTTTTGGCTTAACCATCTAGTATCTGAAACCTACTAGCCAACTAATCCTAATTCACGGTGGGTAGGCCCACTAAGGAGGTAAAGCGATCCCTGCCAAGAAGTTCTCCATTCAAAATGCTCGAACCCAAGACCTCTAATTAAGGATAAAGAAATCCCAACCATCCCTCATAACCCTAGTAGTAAGCTAGAGTACATAATGACATGAACTGGTATCATTCATGAATCATCAAAATGTATCTCTTAATATACAACCTCCATCCATTTATAGTCTTAAGATTTAAGAATATCATAACAGCTGATAACAAGTTGTTGAGTCACACTATGAAGGTTTGGGAGAGGGTGGTGGAGGCCAGGGTGAGGAGGTGCGTGTCTATTTCCGAGAATCAGTTTGGATTCATGCCGGAGCGTTCGACTACGAAAAGGATTCATCTGGTAAGGAGATTAGTGGAGCAGTACAGGGAGAGGAAGAAGGATTTGCATACAGTGTTTATTGACCTTGAGAAGGCATACGATAAAGTTCCGAGGGAGGTCCTATGGAGGTGTTTGGAGGTTAGCGGCGTTCCCGTAAAGTACATTAGGGTGATTAAGGATATGTATGGTGATGCTAAGACTCGGGTGAGGACTGTGGGTGGTGATTCAGATCACTTCCCTGTGGTGATGGGGTTGCACCAGGGATCGGCTCTTAGCCCATTTTTATTTGCCTTGGCGATGGATGTATTGTCGCGTCACATCCAAGGGGAGGTGCTTTGGTGCATGCTATTTGCCGATGATATAGTGTTGATTGACGAGACGCGTAGCGGAGTTAACGCGAGGTTGGAGGTTTGGAGACAGACCTTGGAGTCTAAAGGTTTCAAACTGAGTAGAACCAAGACATAATACTTGGAGTGCAAATTCAGTGACGGGACCCATGATGCAGACGTAGAGGTTAAGCTTGATGTTCAAGTTATCCCCAAGAGAGCGAGTTTTAAGTATCTCGGGTCTATTATCCAGGGTAACGGGGAGATTGACGAAGATGTCGCACATCGCATCGGAGCGGGATGGATGAAGT